AGCCAACTCCTATTTTAATTTCCTCTAATGTATATACATATACATATGTATATATATATATCTTTCCCTATATATCTTATTGGACTTCCCTGATGGCTCAGTGGTAAAATATCTGCCTGCTAATGAAGGAGATATAGGTTCAATCCCTGGGTCAGGATGATCCTCTGGAGAAGGAGATGACAACCCACTCCAGTATTCTTGCCTGGGAAATTCCCATGGACAGAGGAGCCTGGGGGGCTATAGTCCATGGGGTCTCAAAGAGTCGGACACGACTTAGCAACTAAACAACAACAGAATATAGGTTTATCTCCTTGCTCCATTGTCCAATTTCATCTGATTGCTACCTGTTATTAGGCTGCGTCTTTAAACTCTGTGCTGTGTGTGCTGGACTAAATCACTCAGTTGTGTCCAACTCCTTGTGACCCCATCGACTATAGCCTGCCAGGCTCCTCTGTCCAAGGGATTCTCCAGGCAAGAATACTGGAATGGGTTGCCATGCCCTCCTGCAGGGGATCTTCCTGACCCAGAGACTGATCCCACATCTCTTGCCCGTCTGTCTCCCGCACTGGCAGATGGATTCTTTACCACTAGTGCCACCTAGGAAGCCCTTAAACTGTCTAAGGGCTGATCAAATAAGACTGATGGTGAGAACCTTGCTCTGGAAATGAAATAGAAAGTCACGTTGCATCCAAAGGTGAATGCTCTGTATAAGTGTGACATCTAAGTGAAAGGGTATGAGCATGGACTTGGGTCTTTGGACACAGGTGTGCATGGCTATGTGTTGTCATTGGGAGTTTCCACCCTGAGTAACTCTACATGGGGACACACACACAGAACTTTGTTTTGTGCTCAAGTATGTGTCAGCAGGTGTGTAGTTTGGTTTCTGGGCAGAGCTCACTAGCTGGAGCTGGCTGTCACCTGCCCCTTTCTTTCTCCTGTGTCTGGTAAGAGAGGTGCTCACAGAACTGACTTCCCAGAGTCAAACTTGTTTAACTGGCTGCTCCCTGAATAAAAATAATTACCTCTGATAATGCACCAAAAAGGAAGTAAGTAGAAAGGGAAATAAGAATCAGAATGATATTTTCAAATTGTGTTTGGTTGTCTTGGCTGAGCTAATGTTTTATTTTCGGGAACTTGTTCTCTCCACCCTCTCAAGGTTTGCTGTTTCTTGCAGAGTGTTTTCCCTTTCAAGTGATCTTGTGGAATTGCGGGAACTCTCACCTTGCCTTTTTGCCTCACAAACTAGATCAGAGGGACTTTGCTATCTTACAATTCATTATCTTCATAGATCCCTCGCTATTTGCAAGCCCACAGATAAGACTTTCCTTTTCTCTCTGAGATGTTCCTCCTGCCTGCTCCTCTGTTGACTTAGGCTTCTGTCAACCAGTCACCTGCCTGTCTTCTGAGTTGTAAGGAAACTGTTTAATTTTCATTCCCTCAGACAAACTCATGGAGCTCCAGAAAGAGTGAAAAGAAGATTAAACTGCCTGGGAGGTTTCTTTGCATATGTGTTTCCAGAACTGAGACACTCTGCCTCAATAAGGTATTAGTGGGTTTTTTTTTCTTCCAGTTTTATTTGTTTATTTATTTATTTACTTTACAATATTGTATTGGTTTTGCCATACACTGACATGAATCCGCCATGCGTGTACATGTGTTCCCCATCCTGAATCCCACTCCCACCTCCCTCCCCATCCCATCTCTCTGGGTCATCCCAGTACACCAATCTCAATCCCTTGCATTCCTATACACTAACAATGAGAAAACAAAGAGAAACTAAGGAAACAATTCCATTCACTGTTGCACCGAAAAGAATAAAATACTTAGGAATAAATCTACCTAAAGAAACAAAAGACCTATATGTAGAAAACTATAAAACACTGGTGAAACAAATCAAAGAGGACACAAATAGATGGAGAAATATACCATGTTCATGGATTGGAAGAATCAATATAGTGAAAATGAGTATATGACCCCCCAAAGCAATCTATAGATTCAATGCAATCCCTTAAACTATCAACAGTATTTTTCAGAGAACTAGAACAAATAATTTCACAATTTCTATGGAAATACAAAAGATCTTGAATAGCCAAAGCAATCTTGAGAAAAAAGAATGGAACTAGAGGAATCAACCTACTTGACTTCAGTCTCTACTATAAAGCCACAGTCATCAAGACAGTATGGTACTGGCACAAAGACAGAAATATAGATCAATGGAATAAAATAGAAAACTCAGAGATAAATCCACACACCTATGGACACCGTATCTTTGACAAAGGAGGCAAGAATATACAATGGAGAAAAGACAATCTCTTTAACAAGTGGTACTGGGGAAACTGGTCATCCACTTGTAAAAGAATGAAACTAGATCACTTTCTAACACCATACACAAAAGTAAACTCAAGTGGATTAAAGCTATAAATGTAAGACCAGAAACTATAAAACTCCTAGAGGAAAACATAGGCAAAACACTCTCTGACATAAACCACAGCAGGATCCTCTATGACCCACCTCCCAAAATATTGGAAGTAAAAGCAAAAATAAGTGAATGGGACCTAATTAAAATTAAAAGCTTCTACACAACAAAGGAAACTATAAGCAAGGTGAAAAGACAGCCTTCGGAATGGGAGAAAATAATAACAAACGAAGCAATGGGCAAAGGATTAATCTCAAAAATATACAAGCAACTCCTACAACTCAATTCCAGAAAAATAAAAGACCCAATCAAAAAGTTGGCCAAAGAACTAAACAGACATTTCTCCAAAGAAGACATACAGATGGCTAACAAACACATGAAAAGATGCTCAACATCACTCATTATCAGAGAAATGCAAATCAAAACCACAATGAGGTACCATTTCACGCCAGTCAGAATGGCTGCTATCCAAAAGTCTACAAGCAATAAATGCTGGAGAGGGTGTGGAGAAAAGGGAAGCAATCTAGATGTCCATCAGCAGATGAATGGATAAGAAGCTGTGGTACATATACACAATGGAATATTACTCAGCCATTAGAAAGAATACATTTGAATCAGTTCTTATCAGGTGAATGAAACTGGAGCCTTTTATACAGAGTGAAGTAAGCCAGAAAGAAAAACACTAATACAGTATACTAACGCATATATATGGAATTTAGAAAGATGGTAATGATAACCCTGTATGTGAGACAGCAAAAGAGACACAGATGTATAGAACAGTTTTTTGGACTCTGTGGAAGAGGGTGAGGATGGGATGATATGGGAGAATGGCACTGAAACATGTAAATTATCATATGTGAAATGAATCACCAGTCCAGGTTCGATGCATGGTACAGGGTATTAGTGGTTATTAGTATCAATAATAGGGCTTCCTAGGTGGAGCTAGAGGTAAAAAACCCACCTGCCAATGCAGGAGATGTAAGAGACATGAGTTCGATCCCTGGGTCAGGAAGATCCCTTGGAGGAGGGTGGGGCAATGCACTCCAGTATTTTTGCCTGGAGAATGCTACAGCAGAGGAGAGCCAGGAGGACTTCAATCCAGAGGGTCACACAGAATCAGACATGATTGAAGTGAATTAGCACACATGCAAGCAGTATCAATAATAAAGCAAAACATGTAATGTAACAGAAGGGAGCATAAAATGACTAAAGTCATACTGTACAATATAGTATTTATCATATAAGCTACAATTCTGATTTTCTAAATTTTACCTTGTAATTAAATCTTTACAGAACTAGATCATCTGTTTAGAGTTAACCTAGGCAGTGGGAAATCAGCATATTTGTTTCAGATCAATCAGAATTAAAGAAGGTGGCTTTGCTGGCCACAGAATCAGGTTAACCAAGGGCAAAATTAAGTTTTTACATATATGCAAAAGTGGTAACCACCAGTTCTCTTCAGAAAGAAAAGACTGCATTTTTGGAACTATGTGCTGATAATATGGAATTATATCTGGAGGAGGACATGGCAACCCACTCCAGTATTTTTGCCTAGAGAATCTCCATGAACAGAGGAGCCTGGCAGGCTACAATCCATGGGGTTGCAAAGAGTTGGATATGACTGAGTGACTAAACATAGCATATGCTGATTGTGTAGAGTACAAACATATAAAAAAATCTCTGGCCACGTTAACAAGAAACTTGTAACTATAGTCTCCTTGAAGGAGAATTGGGAACTGGATAGACCGAGAAGGATGGGGCGGAGAAAAGATTTTCATAGTATACCATTTTGTAGTTTTATTTTTGAATCATATGAATATATTTCCTTTTTGTTTAAAAAAAGAGAAGACAGCTTAGCACTGACACTTTCTTTAACCCATACACTGGTAAGAATGAGGGTCTGTGTCTATCTTTATATGAAGAACAGAGGAGCTTCTGGAGCTGCAAAACTAAATAGTTTTATTGATAGCTGCTATCTGCTCATTAGTAGTGAGAATGCAGTGTAGGGGTATGTTAGAGAAGGAAAGCAAATGTATAACTCATCTCTCTTGAAATCCACCAACTATTTGTTCATGGTCTGAATTAGGTTTGTATAAAAATGAAATTAAGTGTTTTGTTTAAAAAAATTAGGAGATACACAGAAAAAGAAAATTAGACCTGCTTAAGGACTGCTAGGGAGATAAATCTTTCCCGCATCTGTTCCCATGGACCACAATTTTACATCATTTGTGAACCTGACCATCAGAGCAGGAGTCTAGGGCAGGAGGGGAGCCTTTAAAATAATTTGAGAAACAACAGCATGAAAGGATCAGACCAGATCAGAGCTAGATAAGCTGTATAAAAGGAAAATGGCAGGAAGAAACAATTTCTTCCTGTTTGAACATCAGATAGATAGATAGATGAATTGGTGGCTCAGAGTTCCAGGTAGCCAGATACTTAATAACCAGTGATCTGGAGAGGTGTTTTAAAGTTCTGTGTGCTCCATTTTATTTTTTTCAGAACAACTCAGGCCTTGGGAATCATTCTCAGCGGTGCTCTGTGCATCCTCAAGGGGTCAAGCACTGGAGTGGACCACTGAGTTGTGATGGGAAGTGAGAGGGGCGTGATGCGGATGCTGTTGGAATGCAGTCTCAGTGACAAGTTGTGTAGTAAGTACAGATGATACAGAAATCCATCCTCTGATTTTTGATGGAGATTAAGATCTAAAAAGGGCTTCCGAATAGGGCTTCCTAGGTGACAGCTGAAGTAAACAATCCACCTGCCAAGGCAGGAGACATAAGAGACATGGGTTTGATCCCTCAGTTGGGAAGATTCCCTTGAGAAGGGCATGACAACCCACTCCAGTATTCTTGCCTGGAGAATCCCATGGACAGAGGAGCCTGGTGGGCTACAGTCCATAGGGTCGCACAGAGTCAGACACAACTAAAGTGACTTAGCATGCATGCACAAGATCTGAAGAGATTCTGGAAGAAAGATCATTTGATTTCTAATAAAATGAAGAGAGTGTGAGAAAGGAATTGGTGCTAAGGACCATTGTCTCTGAAGGAGGTGGGCAGGGTGGGGGAGAGTGGCAATCAGAGATAAAGATGTGCTGCCTTTTCATCTCAGCAGGAAAAATGAGAGAGGAGGCACAGGATATACTTGCTGAGCTGAGAAACAGGGGCATAGGGATTCAGATCAGGGATCTGATCTCAGTTGTGGTAGAGGGATCAGAAGGAAGAGATAATCATGTCACATACAGTGAGCTGAAGACTCATGGGGAGGGGGAGCCCGGTTAGGCTGCTTCTTCAATCTTTTCTTGCTTGATCTCTACCTAGTTATCCAGGAACAACAGTATGAAATCATCATCATCCCTGCCTTCCTGGTTGGTACCTTCCTCATCCTCCTTGGCGTCATCCTGTGGCTTTTTATCAGAGAACAGAGAGCCCAACAGCAGTCTCCAGGACCTCGAGGTAAGATTCAAACAGGCTGGTCAGTGACTTGGGAAAGATGGAGATGGTAGGAAAGAAGACCCAAGCTTCAGTGAGCTCAAATCTCAAGGACTCTGATGAGATAGAGGGTATGAGTCCCCTCCTGTGGAGTTGAGAGGAGCAGGCGAGCCTTTCTTAGGGATGCCATGAGTTGAAATTCAAAATATGAATTTCATATACTCATACAACAAGAAATTTCATAATTTCTTGTTAGCTGAAAGAAGAGAAGGCGAGAGAGGCCTCATGTAACCTCTTTCTGTCTTCTTTGTCCTATTGTACCATCAAATCTTTGGCCATGTGAGTGTCTAAGGACTGGGGAGGAAGCCTGTGGATAAAGCCAAAAGCTTTGTAATGAGCTTTGAAGGATGACATTTTACTCTATAATACATTCCACCCCTACTTTGTGCTTATGGAATTTCGGATGTAAAGGAGTAGCCTTAGTCTTTTCTTTTCAAGTGATTTTTAAAAATGTATTTATTTATGGTTGTGCTGTTCTTCATTGCTGCTCCTGGGCTTTCTCTAGTTTTGGCCAGCAAGGATTACTCTTCATCGTGATGCACGGACTTACTCTGTGACTTCTCTTGTTGTGGAACATGGGCTGTAGGGCACTCAGGCTCAGAAATTGTGGCACATGGGCTTAGTTGCCCTGTGACATATGGAATCGTCCTGGATCAGGGATTGAACCCATATCCCCTCCATTGGTAGGCAAATTCTTAAACACTGGACCACCAGGGAAGTCCCATAATAGTCTCTTGGTAGGAGATGATAACATGCTATTCTGGAGTATCACTGAGCATATGATGAAAGAGAGTCAGCTTGAATGGAAAACTTAGAGAAAAAAGAAGGGAAAAATTTCCTGACAGGGATATGAATCTCTAGAGTGGTGGATCCCTTCTCCTTCTCTAAATTGTATCCTAATTTTCTTATTTGTTGTTGTTGTTGTTGTTGAGTCACTAAGTCATGTCCAACTTTTTGTGACCCCATGGACTGCAGCACGCCAGGCTTCCTGGTCTTCTACTATCTCCCCAAGTCTGCTCAAGTTTATGTCCATTAAGTTGGTGATGCTATCTAACCATTTCATCCTCTGTCAACCCCTTCTCCTTTTGCATTCAATCTTTCCCAGCATCAGGGTCTTTTCCAATGAGTCGGCTGTTCACATCAGGTGGCCAAAGAATTGGAGCTTCAGCTTCAGCAACAGTCCTTCCAATGAATATTCAGGATTGATTTCTTTAGGATTAATTGGTTTGATCTCCTTGCAGTCCAATGGACTCTCAAGAGTCTTCTCCAGCACCACAGTTAAAACATATAGCATATGTAAAACAAAAGTCCTGAAATTCCCTCACAATTTCCTCTTCATAGTCTTCCCTGTCATAATAAATGGTAAGCCCAGTTCTCTATGTGTTCAATCTAAAATGAAGTCTAAAAAAAATTTTTAAAAAAATCAATAAAATGAAGTCTAAATGAAATTTGAAGATGTTCTTGCCTCCTCTTTCTCTCACATTCTGTATCCAATCTATTAGCAAATCCTGTTTAACTGTACCTTCCAAATAGACTCAAGTCACCCTCACCTCTCAGAGAAAATTGTAATACACCGTTACCTAGTCTCCCTGCTTCTGCCTGTATCCTTTTATGGTCTGTTCTCCTCAGAGCAGTGGAATGATTCTTTTAAGGCCTAAGCGAGCCCTGTTAATTCTCTGCATGAAACCTCCAGTAGCTTCTTATCTTAGAATGAAAAATAGATTAAATTCTTTCAGTGGCCTTACATGATCAGAGTCCTCTCTGGCCTCATCTCCTATAACCCTCTTATTGTCTCACTTGGTTCCAGGCTCACTGATTTCAATGTTGTTGTTTAGTCGCTAACTCATGTCCAACTCTTTGTGACTCCATGGACTGTAGCCCGTCAGGCTCCTCTGTCTATGGGATTTTCCAGGCAAGAATACTGGAGTGGGTTGCCATTTCCTTCTCCAGGGGATCTTCCCCACCCAGGAATCTAACCCAGGTCTCCTGCATTGCAGGCAGATTCTTTACTGACTGAGCTATGAGGGAAGCCCATAACCACTGAACTGCTAGGGAAATCTAAGACTTTCTTGATTGAAACTCTGGGAAATGTGGAATAATTTGATTTTGGGAACAACTTGAGGGAAGAAGAATAACTTTAGCTTAGAGTTGAGTACTTATCCATACCTCTATTTCACCCCTGAAAGTCATTTTATTGACTCAAATGATAGTTCCCCTGGCAGTTACCACCACCTTTAGGTGTCCATGGTTTGAAGATCTATTCAGTAGCTTTTTGAATTGTCTCTAGACTCTACTCATACTGAACTGGAATTCTGAGAAAGACTGAACAGAAATGTCTTTAACAATTTTCAGAGGTCCATCTTGAGTTGCCTTAGAAGTAATGGGATTATGACATATATTCTACAAGGTTTGTCTTGATGCTGGTTCATAGAGAAGCACCTGAAGGTACCTCACCTTGACCCAAGAGAGAAAATTCCTGAAGGGACTTCTTGATGGTTTGTTTGTGGTTCTGATTTCCTGGAGTCCCTGGGACCAGGAAAAAGCTGGTTGGTGTCACCTCTTTGCTTTAGGTGTTGCCCATGTACCTCTATCTGGGAACCTAAGCCAGGAAGCAGCAGGACCTGGAAAAACTGTGTTTGTACCACTTGAGGAGACCTCGGTGGAAAGCCTTCTGCGAACTTCTGCACACGCCCTGGCTAAGCTGCAGGTGCCCCGGGAGCAACTCTCTGAAGCTCTGGAGCAAATCCACAGTGGTAGCTATGGGGCCATCTATCGCACCACGATGCACACTGGGAACCCTGCAAAGCCCAAGAGTGTGGTCCTCAAGGCTTTAAAAGGTAAAAGGAGGGGTATTGGACTTCTTTTCCTCTTTTAACATTTTTACTGTGAACCCTCAACAGGGAATGCTAACAGGATTTTCAGACATTGGGATGTTAATCAGCAGATAGTTGTGACCACAGTTGGCCCACAATAAGAAGGGAATAGAAAGTAAAAATTCAAGAACAGAAAAGTTCTTCTTTGAGTCTTTCCCTAGCTCAACCTTGCCTATCAAGGATGTTAAAACTAACTTTTTCCTATTGGATATTTCTTGGATGAGGATTTTGAGGTTGTTTCTTCATTTTTCTTGACTATTTGATTTCTTTTCCAGATACTTCATTTTCTTTTGGACTGATACTCATGATGTGGACCAGTAATGATGGATACATAAAACAGAACAAAGATAGGATTAGCAAGAATCATAATCAAAAGGTCTAGAAGTGATAATATTTTAATGTGTGATACTATTTTTATCATTGCTATTTTTATTGAATGTAATTAAAAGCAGAAGGGACAGTAAACAGTTTCTCCAGCAAACAAAAGAAAACAAGCAAATAAAACAGAAGCAAAGTGCTTTAAGAAAGCAATGGAATACAGATCTTTTCTTGGTTTAGAACATTGAGGTTTGGGAGGTTGTCACCTCAGCTTAATCTGTGTAATAGTCACACATATTTGTAACCTACACACCATCCTGGATTCCTTATTCTTCAAATCTATAGAGCTCTGTCGGAAAGTCATTCTTTAGGTGTCAAATGAGAATCATGAAATTTGAACCTATATACATATTGACCATTAGTTTTCTATTCCTTCAACAAAATATTAATATCTATGTTATAGCCAGGGGTTTCCATATAGCTTAGCAATAAAGAATCTGTCTGCAATGCAGGAGAAACAGGTTCAATCCCTAGGTCAGAAAAATCCCCTGGAGAAGGAAATGGCAACCCACTCCAGTATTCTTGCCTGCAGAATCCCATAGACAGAGGAGCCTGGTGGGCTACAGTCCATGAGGTCCCCAAAGAGTCAGATATAATTTAGTGACTAGACAACAAGAAAACAGTATGTGTGATAATATTTTAATGTAAACAAAACAGTTTTCTATTAGGCAGAGGAAAGTCTAACTAGTTCTGAAGAACTGTGGTTCTATGTTACCTTTGATAAAAGAACAGTGACATCGAAGATCATCTAATTGATTCCCTTTCTGTTTACTTTTGGTCTATGCTCATTCCCCTTTGGGATCTTGAAATCTACCATCTGAGGTTGCTTCCTGCCTCATACTCCCCACTTTATTGGTGACACTGACTACTCGTTCTGCCTGGTTCTTCTGTCCCCCACAGAACCAACTGGGCTCCAAGAGGTGCAGGATTTCTTAGGGCGAATCCAATTCTATCAGTACTTGGGGAAGCACAAGAACCTGGTACAGCTGGAAGGCTGCTGCACAGACAGGCTGCCGCTCTACATGGTATTGGAGGATGTGGCCCAGGGAGACCTGCTCAGCTTTCTCTGGACCTGTCGCAGGGTGAGCAGTGGGGCACAGGTGTTAGGAAGAAAGGCTTGACCTGGTTAATAAGCTGTGCACGTACCAGTTAGCCTGACTAGGAAGAAAGGCTTGACCTGGTTGATTAGCTGTGCACATACTAATTAGCCTGACAAATTCTGTTCTTTCTTCATTCTGCTATTCACCTACATTCTTTATTATTTTACTGGTCCAGTAAATCATGGCACTTCTCTGCATACCTGGGAATCTCTCATACCATCTCTCCTTGAATCTTTTAGCTTTTGTACATTTTTTAGTTTTTAAATTTTTATTTATTTATTTTTGGCTGTGCCATGTGGTTAGTGGGCCCGACAAGGGATCAAACCCAGGCCCTTTGCAGTAAAAGTGTGGGTTCCTAACCACTGGACTGCCAAGGGAATTCCCAAGTCCTTATATTTTTGTGTCTTTGCCCTCACTTCAGTAACTGCATTTAAGAATATTTCTTTCCCTATTTTTTCCTTTAGATCTATTCATGTCATTTTGATGTAATGCTTTTTCTTTATCTCTTTAGGATGTGATGACCATGGATGGTCTTCCCTATGACCTCACAGAGAAACAAATATATCACATTGGGAAGCAGGTCCTTTTGGCTTTGGTAAGGCTTGGAGAAGTGACAACAGATGGCAGTGATCTTTTTTGTTAGCCTGGTATTTAATGTCATATTTCTCATATTATGTTCTCAAATGGGGTATATATTATAAATGAAATCGGATGGAAGTTAGGGGGCAGAAACTCAAGCACCGATAAATAGTTTTCAATTCTCTCTTTATGAGATTATTTAGATAATATAATTCAGGATTGGTAATTCTAGGTAGAAAGTGGTCAATTTAGGGTTTCTAGAAGAAACCGGAAGGGTTTTATTTCTTTTATTGTTCATTAAAAAATAATTTTTTTTTGACCACACCATGAGGCATGTGGGATCTTAGTTCCCTGACCAGGGATCAAACCCGTGCCCTGTGAAGCACAGAATCTTAACTACTGGACCACCAGGGAAATCCCAAGAAGGGTTTTAAAAGTTTTCTCAGTCTTAAAGGTAAAAGCACCAGGGCCAAGAGCTATATGTCCACATGTTGTTCACTCAGTCGTGTCTGATTGTTTGCAGCTGTATGCACTGTAGCCGGCCAGGCTCCTCTGTCTTCCACTATCTCCCAGAGTTTGCTCAAATTCATGTCTATTGAGTCGGTGATGCTATCTAGTCACCTCATTCTTTGCTGCCCCCTTCTCATACTTCCCTGTTACCAGATGTAAAAGAGGAAAAGATAAGATAAGCTAGTAGAAGATTTGGGAAGAGAAAACAAATGGGTGAAAGGCTACAGAGACAGGAGGATGTTTATAATTTATACCTAAAGAACAAGAAATACTAGCTCAGAATGTGTTAGGTAGGAGACTTGCTGTAATGCTGAATATGACAGGAATTGTATATACTTGAAAAAGAACAAAGAACAAGTGGAAGAGGAGGAATAAAAAAGGGGTGAAAATGAGATCATTTCTTTATTTTAAACTAACCTAAATAGGGACTTCCCCAGTGGTCCGGTGGTTGACTCTGCACTTCTAATACAAGGGACACGAGTTTGATCCCTGGCCAGGGAACTAGGATCCCACGTGTCTTATCAATGTCATCCAGTTGCGGTGGTTCTCAAACACCTTCTTGGCTGTGCTGGAATAATTTTGATACTTCTTAAAAATATGGATTACCAGGCTCCTCTCCCTAGATTTTGGTTAAGCAAATCCAGAGTAAAAACCTTGTGAGTTTATAAAGCTTTCAGGTAGTTGTGATTTGCGTGCATGCTCAGTAGCTCAGTTGTGCCTGACTTCGTGACCCCATGGACTGTAGCCCGTCAGGATCCCCTCTTCATGGGATTTTTCAGGCAAGAATACTGGAGTGGGTTTTTACTTCTGGACTAAAAAGTTATCGTAGAATTTGTAATAATTCCTATGAATTAGAATACCTGGCTTTGGTCACTTAATGTGGCCTTGTGTAATCATTTATATTTATCGGAAAGCTACTTCCCTAACTTACCTCATCTAGTTACTTTAGCAACAAAACGAACTGGTGTAAGATTGTATATAAATTTACTATTGTGACAGTTTTGCCACGTATTGTTATTGTTGTGCAGTCACTAAGTTGTATCTGACTCTTTGTGACCCCATGGCCTGCAACATGCCAGGCTTCCCCCTCCTTCACTATCTCCCAGAGTTCGCTCAGATTCATGTCCATTGAGTTGGTGATGCTATCTAACCATCTCATCCTCTGCTGCCCTCTTCTCCTTTTGCCTTCAATCTTTCCCAGCATCAGGGTCTTTTCAAATGAGTCAGCTCTTCACATCAGGTGGCCAAAATATTGCAGTTTCAGCTTCAACGTCAGTCCTTCCAATGAACACCCAGGACTGATGTCCTTTAGGATGGACTGGTTGGATCTCCTCGCAGTCCAAGGGACTCTCAAAGAGTCTTCTCCAACACCACAGTTCAAAAGCATCACTTCTTCGGTGCTCAGCTTTCTTTATAGTCCACCTCTCACATCCATACATGAACACTGGAAAAACCATAGCCATGACTAGACAGACCTTTGTTGGCAAAGTAATGTCTCTGCTTTTTAATATGCTGTCTACGTTAGTCATAACTTTCCTTCCAAGGAGTAAGCGTCTTTTAATTTCATGGCTGCAATCACCATCTGCAGTTATTTTGGAGCCCCCCAAAATAAAGTCAGCCATTGTTCTACTGTTTCCCCATCTATTTGCCATGAAATGATGGGACCAGATGCCATGATCTTAGTTTTCTGAATGTTGAGCTTTAAGCCAACTTTTTCACTCTCCTCTTTCACTTTCATCAGGAGGCTTTTTAGTTCTTCTTCACTTTCTGCCTTAAGGGTGGTGTCATCTGCATATCTGAGGTAATTGATATTTCTCCCGACAATCTTGATTCCAGCTTGTGCTTCCTCCAGCCCAGCATTTCAGAAAAATGTGAAATCAGGCCAGGGCCAGAGTCAGAATATGAGATTTTATTTTCCAAACCCAATATGAATATTATTTGGCTTATCTGCTCACTTTGCTACTCTTGGTTTGTTTGTTTAAAGCAAAGTTAGTATATTTACTAATAAATTTGTCTTCAAAAATAAAAAGGGTAGATCAATGTATCAGAAATGTATGGATCAATGTCAGACCCAGAGAATGTACAACACAAAAAGTGTACCCTTTTGTAAGCTCTGGACTCCAGTTGAAAACAGTGTACCTGTATAGGGCTTCCCTGGTAGCTCAGCTGGTAAGCAATCTGGTAAGCAATCTGCCTGCAATGCAGGAGACTCTGGTTCAATTCCTGAGTCGGGAAGATCCCCTGGAGGAGGGCCTGGCAACCCGCTCCAGTATCCTTGCCTGGAGAATCCCATGGACAGAGGAGCCTGGAGGGCTACAGTCCATGGGATCAAGAAGAGTCGGACCCAACTGAGCGACTAAGCACATAGGGCTTCCCAAATGGTACAGTCATAAAGAATCTGCCTGCCAATGCAGAAGATGCAAGAGGAGACTTGGGTTTGGTCCCTGTATCAGGAAGATCTCCTGGAGGATGAAATGGCAAACCACTCCAGTATTCTTGCCTGGGAAATCCTGTGGACAGATGAGCCTGGTGGGCTACAATCCATGGGTTGCAGAGTCACAACTGAGCACATAGGTTCATCAGCTGTAACAAATGTATCACAGTGGTACAAGTTGTTAATAATAGAGGAAACTGAGGGGCAGGAGGCATGAGTGCTCTGGGTTTTCCACTCAGCTTTGTTTTCACCCTAGAACAGCTCATAAAAAAAATAATAAAGTTTTAATTTTTTTTAAAAGAATGAATTTCTGGTATCAGTTTGTTGATCTTAAACACAATGCAAACATGTCTGATTCATTATAAGTATTGTGCTCCCTAGAATTAGAATAGTTGGTTGTGGTCACTGCCACTTAGTACCTGTATGGACGTGACGTTCTTTTTTTTTTTTTAATTATACTTTTTATTTTGTATTGCAGCATAATTGATGAACAATGTTGTGATAGGTTCAGGTGGGCAACAAAGGGACTCAGCCATATAAATACATATTGCTATATTTAAAATGGATAACCAACAAGGACCTACTGTAGAGCCCAGGGAACTCTGCTCATCGTTATGTGGCAGCCTGGATGGGAGGGAGTTTGGGGGAGAATGGATATGTCATTATTGATGCAGCTTGTTCAGGGTAGAAAATGTCTTTTTGAGAATCTGCTTCACTCTACCTTGGACCCAAGCCATGACCTCAGAGAGCTGATCCATTTTGACTTCACGTTGACAGGAATTTCTCCAGGAGAAGCATCTGTTCCATGGCGATGTGGCAGCCAGGAATATTCTAATCCAGTGTGACCTCACTGCTAAGCTCTGCGGGCTGGGCCTGGCTTATGAAGTTCTCTCCCGAGGGGCCATCTCCTCCACTCATGTCGTACCTCTCAAGTGGCTTGCCCCGGAACGGCTTCTGCTGAAACCAGCTGGCATCAAAGGAGACATGTACGGTTTGTTCCTGCCCCGTGGAGTTCCTCCTTTCTTGACTTCAGTGTCCTTCTGCCTGTGAACATGACTGGGTCTATTGTCAATTAAGTCTACACATGAAGTCTCTGCTTTGAAGTCAGACCGACTCTCAAGCAAAAATGTGTGTTATGTGATAGAGTCCATATTTGGCAGCTGTCTGCACTCCTTTTTAGTTCCTCCTGAAGTATTCCGTCTGTGTTAGATTAGAAGCCTTAATTAGGAGAGAAAAAATGAAAAATGAATAGATTATTCACACCAGTATCTGAGGATTTGATTTGGTAGAGTTTTAAGGCAGGTCCACTGAATCAAAAATTTAAACTAGGAGCTATTAAAATAAAAAGAAATATACGTATGTGCTGTGCTAAGTCACTTCAGTCGTATCTGACTGTGACCCCATGGACTGTAGCCTGACAGGCTCCTCTGTCCATGAAATTTTCCAGGCAAGAATACTGGAGTTGGGTAGCTTATTCCTCCTCCAAGGGATCCTCCTGACTCAGGGATCAAATGCTATCTCTTACATCTCCTGCATTGTCAGGCAGGTTCTTTATCACTGCACTACCAGAGAAGCCCATGTATACATGTATTTATATACTCAATTTATTTTAACTTAAAACATATAAATGGATATTTATTTATCAGTCTTTCAGAGGAAGGCCAAGAGGATACATGTGCTATGCTAAATGAAGTTACATGTTGTATTTCTTGTATAAAACAATTGTGATGCAGTTTGACTGCAGACATTTATTGTTAATTTTCCCCCAGTTTTCTACAGTTGTCTCACTCACACAGTTTGACAACACTCTCTTTTTAGTGGCTTGATTTTAGAGAATGTTTTCAAAGCATTCAACCTAGTTTTCAGGGAGCTAAGGCTTTTGGCATGCATATTTAATCAACCTACATAGTATTTAATTGATTATGTAGTTATACTTACATGTATGATTGGCATAAACAGGATTCTAAAGAATTACAATTGACTTTTGGTAACCATATGACTCATCTGCTTGGAGGAGCAGGTAGGTGTAATACAAAATATCTTACCAGCCATGAATGTTAGGCGCTTCAGGGGAAATTTAGAATATTAGTTAATGTGGTGAATCAATTAAGACACTGATTTTTCATTTCATTGCTGTTTCACTGATATCTGCTTTTCAATAGAGGTCTGGAAGTAATAAACTTCCTTGGGAGATACTGCTCATTTCACAATGATGCTGTAGAATAATGAAACATATGTTTCTCAAATCACATTGTTTAGGCAACTACCTACCCCATTTATGTATAAAACTTGCTCTGTTAATGTTTTACCTAAGTTTGGGCAATTAGATCCACTGAGGAAATAGTAGATAAATGATAAACCCTGTTTGGCCTTAAACTAAGAATAAAAGCTGGAATTTCAGCAGGAAGGAATGGCAAAGATGAAAAAGATACACAGGGGGATTTTTATATATTTGAGTGAATATGTTTGCATTTGCATAAGCACTCATAGCATTTAACAAATAAGAGTAAATATCTATTAATGTGTAAATACCTATGAATGTGTAATATCTATTCATATGTAATATTTAACAAATAATAGTAAATATCTATTAATGTGTAGAAAGGAGACATAAATTGAGCTCTCAAGCAAATAAGATTCTAAGGGGACTGGACAGAAATATTTTCTAATGGCATAACTATTATGCCATTATATAATAATGGCTTATTGTACCAATGGCTTATTTTACCAATCACCCTTGATTCCCATTCACTGCCATTGTCATGGGTTTCTTACTGAAGGTCTCTGGTATTTAAGTGAGCTATCTTTATGAAAGGCAGAAATAAAAATGAAGTAAACAGCCTTGTTTCTTTTACAGCTGGTCTTTTGGGATCCTGCTATACGAGATGGTGACTCTAGGTAAGGAGAATCCCCAAAGTAGTGTGCACCCCTATAGAAATATGCAAGGATGTTTATTTGTGTGGTAGATGACATTTGTTGTGAGAAGGGGTTTCAGTACAATTGCTGAAGATCGAACTGAGCTGACACATTTTCAGAATCCAAGCTTGATTTTTGAGATAGTCTTATAAAGTCATGATTCTCTTCCTGTCTCCCTCCTTCCTCTTTCTTTCCCCCAAGACTTTACCAAGTCCATGGCACATTTTAAAATCCAACGAGTATTCCAAGGATGATCTCGTGTGTGCTCAGTTGCTCAGTCGTGTCCGACTCTTTGCAACCCCATGGACTGTTGCCTGCCAGGTTCCTCTGTCCATGGAATTTTTCAGGCAAATTCTTGCTGGAAAGGGTTGCCATTTCCTTCTCCAGAGGATCTTCCCATTCCAGAGATCGAAACCACATCTCTTGAGTTTCCTGAAATGGAAGGTGGATTCTTTACCTCTAGCGTCACCTGGGAAGCCCCTAGGCTGATCGTGCATAAATATAAAAATGCTGTCTTTGGATTTATTAATCCATTTGACTGAGAAACTGCAGCACTTTCTCTTGTTTGAGAAGTAGAGGGCAGATCTTATTTCTCATTGGCAGCTCTGCTTTATTTTGTTACATTCCTAAAGACTTGACATTTTCCTAAATTATCAGGTCTCCCTCCCCCAACATCTCCTTTCTCCAAAATTCTCCAAGTTATACCCTTATCTGATCACCAGGGATCAACTATATTATACCGATTAGGTTTCCTACTTTTGTAGGTGATTAGCCCAGGTGGATGGAGAATAGTGTTAGTTATAGTTTATATTCTAGAAGACCCTAAAGTTGTCTTACTCGTCTCACTCTTTCCATATCAACAGGGGCACCTCCATATCCTGAGGTCCCTCCTACCAATATCCTACAGCATCTCCAAAGAGGGCAAATCATGGAGAGACCCAGTAGTTGCACACATACCATGTAAGTGGCTTTTAAAATCTTTTTTACTCTTTATCAGTCATGCCCTTTGTAAAGTGGCTGAGATGATCCTCAGCTGTCCTCTATGTGCTAAGGTACAACCTTAAACCAAACCTATGCAGAAAATACATGTGCTCATATATATGTGTATATGAGTCTTTACATTTGTGTGTGTGTGTGTGTGTGTATACATGCACACACACAAACACAAATACACAATATGGAGGTAGCCACTGAATGCTATATTAGAAATTTAGATTTGTTAACATTGTTAAAGCTTAGTTCCTCTGGAATCTTTCAAAACAGACGAAATCAAATGCAGGTACAACACTGTTTTAGCTATATAAATGTCAGTCTCAAAGACTACCAGCTTCAGTTCTAATATAGTTGTCATAAAAATCCACAGTTACTCACTAGTTCTTATTTGATATTTAACTTTAAAAAATATTTTCCTGGTTCTAAGCATGTTGGAAGCCCATCAGAAGAAAGACAGAAGAAATTAGACAGCAGAAGGAAGATATCAAATTGCCAGCAGAAAGGGACAGTTGGTGAACTAACATAGAAGCAGAAAATTAAAAATTACACACAGAATTTCATAAACAACAAAGTACAAAGCAGGTTATTATAGACTATAAGAAAGGCTTCAATTATTTTTAAGAAGGCAGGAGATAATATAGTGATATACATTTCTATTTAAATTGCTATTATTTTGTAAATTCTTCAGTACTGGAAAGGTAACTTTCCAGCACCTGAGTTTCCCACAAATACAAACAGTAATTGTATCAAGCATATTAAAAATGCTAAAAATCATAACTTTATATACTTATACACACATAGTACAGTGATACTGGCTAGGTATACTAGAATGAAATTATTGACAAATATTTCTTGTAGGCTTTATATGTGTGTGTGTGTGTGTGTGTGTGTGTGTGTGTGTGTGTGTGGCTATACTTGATACTGGGGATAGGCAGAGACATTTAACTGAAAAAGTATCTTATCTTGAAGCATGTAATAGTTGGATAAGGAATACCTGAAAGAACATGAAAATCAACAGAAAGTGTGAAGCAATGAGTAGACTGGTTAAAAGCTCAGATTCATGTCATAGTCAAAAAAACACATGTTCAGTCTTAGTCTTATATGTTACATTGTTTACTTAACTTAAAATAGGTAAAATGATAGTCCTGCCTCAAAGTAATTGTTAGGCTGCAATGAAATAATGCATGTTGTTTCCCTTCCATGCCTTTTGGGCTTCCCTGATGGCTCAATGGGTAAAGAATCTTCCTGCAATGCAGGACACATAGGAGACTCAGGTTGGGTCCTTGGGTCGAAAAGATCCCGTGGAGGAGGAAATGGCAACCTGCTCTAGTATTCTTGCCTAGAAAATCCCATGGACAGAGGAGCTTGGTGGGCTACAATCTGTGGGGTTGCAAAGTCAGACATGACTGAATAGTTGACTAAGCCACCATGCCTTTTACAATAAGTATGTTCTTGGTAAATGTTATCAGTATTAGTAGAGTAACATAACATCTTATACAAAATCTAATGGCACAACATTAAAGAGTGTGGGAAACACAGTGTGTGCTGAGGTTATAAGGGAAGGAATTTCAAATTCCTACTTATACTATTAGGAAAGAATAACCAGGGAGAGGATATTAATGCCTTGGGCAGAGCATAAGCAAAGAAAAAGCTGGGTGTTACTAATAATGTCTGGGGCATAGCCAGATGTTGTCTTAGGAGGAGAAGAGGGCTCCTGTTAAGCAAGGCCTATGTGGTAAGAAGCTGGGGGGTAGGATACCAACTTTATAAGATAAACAGTAGGCAACTGCTGTAGGTTCTTGGGTAGGAATGAGACTTGATAAAGAGTGTTTGATAACAGACTCTGTTACACATTTTCTAGAAATTGGATTGCAACAAAGACAGATTAAAGGTGGTAAATACATCTATCTAGATTAAGGCCATTTCCTGGAGAAGCTAAATAATAAAGGGAGAAAATGACCTGGATTAATGGAAAGAACTATATGATTACAGTATCTGAAATTAGTATGAACCATGTTATTCCATATCTTCTTATTTTCCCCTGTTGTGATGTAGCTCATACTGGTAGACAAGTTATAGCAGTGGTCTGGAATGATGCAAGTTCATAATATGTAGGATGAAAACACAACTTCTGAAAGAGTTTTTGGTAATAGAAAAAACAACAAAACTGTTTTGTCATACTGGCTGTAGTACAGCAGAAACCAACATGACATTGACCCCATGGACTGTAGTCTGACAGGCTCCTCTCACCATGGCATTCTTCAGGCAAGAATACTGAGTGGGTAGCCATGCCCTCCTTCAGGGGATCTTCCCGACCCAGAGATAGAATGCGGGTCTCCCGTATTGGATTCTTTACCATCTGTGCCATGCTACTGCTGCTAAGTCACTTCAGTCGTGTCCGACTCTTCGAGACCCCATGGACTGCAGCCTACCAGGCTCCTCCGTCCATAGGATTTTCCAGGCAAGAGTACTGGAGTGGGGTGCCATTGCCTTCTCCATCTGTGCCATGAGGGAAGCCCATAAAGCAACTATATCCCAATTAAAAAAAAAAAAGGAAAAGAAAAAGAATAAGGTGATAAATAGATGAAACAGAAGATTCTAGTATTATGCTGAATAAGGGAACTCATGTGAATTCACATTCATGTAAAAAAATAATTTACATTCATGTGAAAAAAAAAAATTCTTCGTTGACTGAGCCACTAGGGAAAGCCATAGTATAACCATTGACTAGTATTAACTAGTATATTATTCATGTGACTACTATAACTATTCTCTACACTTATGTGTATTCAATGTTTTCCATAATAAAAGTTACAGTAGAAAAAAACCCATCAGTCATTCCTATTATAAAAAAGGTTAAGATATTAAGAGATTTAGTATTTAGGGAGTTGAGAAGGAATAGTATTCTCTGGGAAGAATATGGGACAGGGTGACGAATAGATTACAGAATTGTAGGGTTCTTTTGTTAAGATTTTTTTTTCCATTTATTTTTATTAGTTGGAGGCTAATTACTTTACAATATTGTAGTGGGTTTTGCCATACATTGACATGAATCAGCCATGGATTTGCATGTCTTCCCCATCCCGATCCCCCCCCACCTCCCTCTCCACCCGATCCCTCTGGGTCTTCCCAGTGCACCAGCCCCGAGCACTTGTCTCATGCATCCAACCTGGGCTGGTGATCTGTTTCACCCTTGATAATATACATGTTTCAATGCTGTTCTCTCGAAACATCCCACCCTCGCCTTCTCCCACAGAGTCCAAAAGTCTGTTCTGTACATCTGTGTCTCTTTTTCTGTTTTGCATATAGGGTTATCATTGCCATCTTTCTAAATTCCATATATATATGTTAGTATACTGTAATGGTCTTTATCTTTCTGGCTTACTTCACTCTGTATAATGGGCTCCAGTTTCATCCATCTCATTAGAACTGATTCAAATGAATTCTTTTTAACGACTGAGTAATATTCCATGGTGTATATGTACCACAGCTTCCTTATCCATTCGTCTGCTGATGGACATCTAGGTTGCTTGTTAGTGAAGAAGCATGATTTTCAAACATTTGCCTTGTCAAGGAAGTCAGTTTCTCTTGTTCCCCTTTCAGGTATGGTCTCATGAAGTCCTGCTGGCGTTGGAGTGAGGACAGCCGCCCCTCACTTCGAAAGCTACACTCATGTCTTGAAACTGCTGCTCAAAGTGCAAATGACAAGGCTGTGTTGCAAGTACCGGAGTTGGTGGTACCTGAACTGTACGCAGCTGTGGCGGGTATCAGTGTGGAGAGTGTCTCCTACTGCACCAGCATCTTATGAAGGTCCTGGGACAACACCCACTTTGGGGAGATCGTATACTCTTGAAACCAGTTCCTCCAAGAACAAAGACTTTTTAGTGGGAGTTAAAGGGAGAAATGGGACATGGATCTTGAATCTTCTCCTACACATTTCCCTGGAAACCCGAAATGATGCTGGATGAGACTGCCCTCACCATATACCCTTGAGACGGAGAAATGCAGTTTCATTTCTGCTGTCCCAGTTCTGAAGACACAGGGTAGATGGGTTGGACAGTGTCGATGCAAGGGAGGTTTTTACACATTTGCAATCTTTGTTGCCACATGGCATAGATAAGTTGGTCCCTCCTACCATAGGCTGGTTTCCTTTGAAACGTGCTTTTATCTAGACTATAGTTAAGGTCCAGAAAATTGGAATCAAATGAGGGAAGAGAAAGTTGATAAAGAAATTGATGAGAAGAAAATGAAAGGTTCTATTTTCTCAGGAATATAGATGAGGACCAAGGTCCATCCTTCACAGAGAAGGGAGAGGAAGGTCATATTGTTTTCCATTTCTGGTCCATTCGTGCAGGGATGAAAGAGAACCATTAAGGAAGATTTCTGAGCTCACCGTAAGATATAAGCTCACCCTATATGGAGAAATACAGTCCCCTTTTATCTAATTCTGAGATAGGTAAATCCTGTTGGTACTATTCTAAGTAGAAGCTGGAGGGGTGATTTCATGATTAAGAACATTGGTCATATGTCATCCATCAGGCTCACTTTCTGGTCCCTGTTAGACTAGGGAATTCAACCCTGAATATTTATTGGAAGGACCGATGCTGAAGCTGAAGCCCCAGTACTTTGGCCACTTGTTGTGAAGAGCTGACTCATTGGAAAAGACCCTGATGCTGGGAAAGGTTGAGGGCAGGAGAAGGGGGCGACAGAGGATGAGATGTTTGGATGGTATCACTGACTCAATGGCCATGAGTTTGAGCAAACTCCGAGAGGTAGTGAACAGGGAAGCCTGGCGTGCTGCAGTCCACGGGATCACAAAGAGTTGGGCACGACTAAGTGACTGCACAGTGACAGATAAGACTATGGGGACTGAGCTCAGAGAGTCCAGTAGGGTTGATGATGAATAGACTGCGTATGTGTTTAATAAATGGGAAATGTGGAAACCAGCGAGGGTGCTTACTAGCTCAGGATGTCTTTAAGGAGCACTAGAAAAAGCTGTAAGCTGAGATAGAAGGATGGTAGGTTCTGATTTTCAATCATTCAATGATGTACTGTGAAACTTATTTCATTAAATTAATATTTATTGAGTCAAAGTATACATTTTGGGTTATACAGTTGTCAAAATCTTGACAATAAGGAGGATGAAAGTAAATAAATGTGAATTAATGTCAACAGGAAAATTCAAGAGACAATCTACATTGTCAGAAAAAGATTCCTCATGTGTAGAAAGGGGATAATACCTACTTCACAGGGTTGTGAGAATGGAATGAAAGGGTGTTATTTGTACCACATGTGGCGCATACTATATGACAATAAATATTAATTTCCTTACCCACCCCTTTACTATCCTAGGTTCTCCTTCATATATTTTTCATTTAACATTTGTGGTGACCAAGAAGAGAACCGTGGTCTGTCAGTCACACTGCAAGGCAGGACATACTTAAAGATGATGATATAGTACAAATTGTTGTTGTTGTTTAGTTGCACCTGACTCTTGTGAGTCCATGGACTGTAGCCCCCCCAAGATCCTCTGTCCATGGGATTTCCCAGGCAAGAATACTGGAATGGGTTCCTTCCCCAGAGGATCTTCCCAACCCAGGGGCAAACCCACATCCTGCATTAGCAGGCGAATTCTTTATCACTGAACCACCGGGGAAGCCTATAGTACAGATACCACGACTGAAATGAGGAAGTCATTATTTTTGTGTGAGTGTCTGGATGACTACAGTCACCTCCCACTATTTCAACATACTGGAACTATCATGACGATGACAATTCAGTTGAACACATGGTCTATGATTTTAAAGAATACATTGGGTACTCTTGAAGAGACATTCAAGACTGCTACAGAAAAGCTGACTGGCAGTTTAAAAAGTTTGCATAATCCTGATGGAGTCACCCAACTGCATAACAATTCTTGCACCTGTAGGAATACTACAATGACTAGTCAAAATTTTAATACGTGGTAAGTAGCAATAGGGAGAAGGGAGGTAGAATGGCTCAGCATAAAACACTGAAATACTATGGAATGTCATTGTTCTCAGCTGTTGCCTTATGTCTAATTTACAAAGTATTTATTCAATTATTTTCAAAGAATTGAGTATTAAGGGCACCTGTGCCAGACACTGTGCTAGACGCTGGATAAAAGAAACAGTGTTAGATTATGAGTCTAGAAAGCAAGGGATGTTATATACATGTTTGTATGCATTAACGTGCGGTGTGGAGATGGTGAAGGACAGGGAGGCCCGGTGTGCTGTAGTCCATGGGGTCACAAACAGTTAGAGCTGACTTGGTGACTGAACAACAAGAATGTGTATTTGTGAATTACAGACCGTGGTAAGTGCTGTGAAGAAAAAGTACAGGGTAAGTGGAAGGGAGTAAAAAGTGGGGACCTTGTTGAAAAAAGTGGCATTTAAATTGAGACCTTAGGAATGGGTGAGTAAGCCTGACAGTGAAGAGAAGAGCTTTCCAGGAGAAGGATTATTTATGTGAAAATACTGAGGCAAGAAAAAATAGAAAAAAAGCAGTTTGAGGAACTGCAAGGAGGCACAGTGAGGCAGGAGGGGAGTGGTGCTGATGAAACCGAGCGTTGCTCTTTCACACTGTATTTTTCTTCCCCAAGGGAAATAATGAATTTATGACTTTGCCTTTAGCAACAATATTCAAAATAGTACTTGATACTCATCCATCACAGGTAAGTTAGAAATAATAGAAATCAACTCTACCAAAATTCTGGGAATAAGTTAGATGATCCAGGAGAGAATACTTCACAAAATACCCACCATGTACAAAAATAGACTCAATGGAAAAGTATAGTTTTAAAAATATGTAAGAGGAACAAAATATTAATTCTGCAAATAGTTGTTCATTGTATACCACATACAAAGCTCAAAGTTAGTCTCCATGGAGAAAATAAAGACAAACCTGAATGACTCAAGTCCTCGTCACTTATTTACTAGTAAACTGGTGCCTCCATTTTTTTTTAAATTACATATCTTTATTAGGAAAAATATTTTGAACACTTGTTCTAATCAAAGTATATTAATTTATATAGAGATATAAAATATACACAGTATAAAATAAATGCAATATAAATTTAAAAGGGTAAGATAAAGGTAAAATAAATTTATTTTAAAAATATTTTGCTAATTATTTCACACTGTATGTTAATGCTTGTTTTGGTAGAAGGCAAAGAAACAGACAATTGCTATTTTCAACTTGATTTGTTTTTCTGGATATAGATCTGGAAAACTGGATATAGTAATTGCTTATTCAAAGGAAACTGGATTTTTCCCTCAATTGGCCAGGCTTTATCCAAAAGGATAATTATATTTCTGGCATCTCTGACTTATTTCCAAGGTAATGAATAGAAAAGAGAATTATAATGTTTACCATTTAATCAAGTTGAATCTGGGTTAGGATTTGTTTTATTGTTTTGATTTCCTCCTCTCCCAGTCTTTCTTTTCCAATTTATCCTTTATGGTTAAAAAACAATTCTAACATAGCTAGGAACTGAGCAAATGCCAACCTGGAAATCATGTCCCATTGAAACCTGACAATGTAACTTAACTTAGAATAATCTGAACCAGAGTTCTCAAATCATGTTCGTTCACAACACTTTATTTAGGTATTTTGTGCCTGAAGAATCCCATGGACAGAGGAACCTGTTGCAAACAGTTGGACATGACTGAGCACTTAGATTAAATTTGAAAAATAATATTTTTCACCATTTTAAATAAAAAGTAAATCAGTTCAGTTCAGTTCAGTTGCTCAGTCGTGTCCGACTCTTTGCGACCCCATGGACTGCAGCACACCAGGCCTCCCTGTCCATCACCAACTCCCGCAGTCTACTCAAACTCATGTCCATTGAGTCAGTGATGCCATCCAACCATCTCATCCTTCGTCATCCCCTTCTCCTCCTGCCTTCAATCTTTCCCAGAATCAGGATCTTTTCAAATGAGTCAGTTCTTCGCATCAGGTGGCCAAGCTTCAGCATCAGTTATTCCAGTGAATATTCAGGACTGATTTCCTTTAGGATGGACTGGTCGGTAAATGGAAAAAGTAAATAGAATCTTCTAAATCTTAACCTTAACCAGCCAACTCATTGGAAAAGACCCTGATGCTGGGAAAGATTGAAGGCAGAAGGAGAAGAGGGCAACAGAGGATGAGATGGCTAAATGGCATCACCAATGCAATAGACATGAATTTGGGCAAACTCCAGAAGATGGTGAGGGACAGGGAAACCAGGCATGAGTCCATGGGGACTCGAAGAGTCAGACATGATGGGGCAACTGAACAACAGCTGTTACTAAATTTTTGCTCCACCATGACTCATTTAAAAAATAAATATGTGTCAAATACAATAGAAGACTGAGAAAATAAGCCATTATGCTTAATTTAGCAGACTGGCTTTACTTGTTTTTGAAATAAGAGTCAGTGGTTACGCTATATGTTAGAAGCATATAATACTGTCATATGCATGAAAAATCAGTTTAAAAAAAAAGAAAAATCATTAGCTTGAATAATGGAATTGAATATATATCACCACATCTTAATAATCAAGCAACACTTTCAAGTGCTCACTATATGTGAACATGTTTGAAAAGCAATGATGTGGAAGTTGTTGTGTTTCTGCACAATGATGGTTCTCTTATTTTAAAAATGTAACACCACTGAGTGCTCTAAAAGACATACATGGTTGACAGAAAGAAGTTACTACAGAAGAGAAGAGAGAAAGGTGGTGGATGGAACAAAGACTGAAATAGACCATAGTCATTCTTACATTTAAAAACATTTCAATCACCTTAG